GTACGCTTCATAAGTGTGCAAGGACCAAAAGGCCCACAAGGACCTCCAGGCTTACCAGGCAACGCCGGAGCACCAGGAATGCCAGGCGAGCAGGGACTGCCAGGAAATCCGGGAGCGCCTGGACCTCAGGGGTTGCCAGGGCTAGCAGGGGAAGACGGTACTCCAGGCTCTGTAAGTTTATTTAAAGGCGCAATATTCTGGTATTCTCTCTTCCCAAAGCTAAATTAATGCATTTTATTAAAATATTGCAGCCTGGGATACCTGGGCAACCTGGCGTAGATGCCGAGTACTGCCCGTGCCCGAAACGGACAAAACCGTACTCCAAAATTGAAACTACTACTTTGACTGGTATTCCTCAAAAGGTTCCAGCTTTTAAACGGTCCTTCACTGGTCAAAGACGTCAAAGGAACTCAAAACGTTTCAACGCTCGAGTTTATCAAAAGCCTCAGCAAATTTAGCTTCAACCAGCTTCTTTGGATCAAGATGTTCACCAAAAGAACTAGCCCTGGAAGTTCATAATAGCGAGAAGAAAGAGAGTTGTGGTTGTAGAAAATAAAAACCAATAAACTTTTTGTTATTTTTATTTTTTTATAACGAAAAAGATAAAAGGAATTAGATTTCTGCCAGTAAATTTTCGTTCAACAGGTTGTTCATATTTGTAGCAAGCACTTTTTGAAAGAAGGTAAAAACAAATTTATAACGGCGTATGGGCTATGTGTATATTGTGAAGAACGATTGTAACCATAACTGATGGCAAAGCCAGAGACTTTACAAAGAGTAAACGTGTGGGGAAAGCAGAAAAAAAAGGATCAAAAATGTTCATGAAGAGGAAGAAAGGATAGCAAATCATTTTCAGTAGGAATAAAACCAGTTGAAAAAACCTCAAAAGAGAACATCTGAAATCAAAGAAGACATGGGGGAGAAATGCATTCAATCTAAAGCCATTTATAATAAAGTAGTGCCAAAGATCTCTGCGTCAAGACAGCGACACCTCCTAAATCTTTCCAGTACCAAATTTATGACTATTTATGAGCAGTAACCAAGACATCCCAGTAGGCTCGAATGTTAATCTTAGTTTTACCGACATGCACTGATTATTGGAAGCCTCTATTTTTTATAACTTCCAAAAATTGAGGGCATTTCTCCAAATCTAGTCAGAGAGACAAATTCTTAAACAACTATTTAAAAGTTTGCCTCAACTGATAAATTTTCATTCTTTATGTTCATTGATTGGGAAAGTGTGCTACTCGACAAATTGACTTTCTGCAAAGCTCAGGTTAACTTTGTAGTTATTAAGCAGATAAGATGATACAAAAAAAATTTTTTACTTTTAAACTAAATTTCGATCTAACAAGAAAATTATTTATGACTAAATTGAAAAACTTCACGATAAATTTGTACCTGAAATAATTTATCGATCGCTGACTAAGTCGATAACAAAGCTTAAACTCAGTGTAAGATCAGTAATTTGTTTTGCATTAAAGTTGGGCTATTTTAAGAAGTTATCAAATATAGGCTTCAAATATCTTTTAAGCATTTAAAGCTTCAGATTTCAAGCACCAGCACATTGTCGTAAAGTAGTGATCTACTGTATACGTTTTTACTCTGAAGAATCTAAGAAACTTTAGAAAAATTATCAGTTTAGTTGAAGTACCTTGGCCTTATAACAGTAATTTCAAGGAAATGATCTAAACAAAAAATATCAAAAATAAATTGAAACCTTTCTCCGTTTAAATTTAGAATATCTGTGGTATAATCTCTTTATTGCACCAAGCTTTTTTTGTTCACTCAAAACCATAAAAGGACGACTTTGATAGTTGAAGACTGTTTTACTACTTTACACGTGCGGTGAATATTTCCGTTAAACGGCTGAAAAAGTTATCGCTTTCCAGTGACGTCATGGTGCTCCGCCTTTAGCCTTTTCCTTCAGTGAGTAAACCTCTTATAAAAAAATCCCTTGACCACCGTTTTCATGCAGTTTTTCTGCTAAAGGCAATAGGAGGTAGGAGGCGAGAAGTTTGTGCCACCAATTTATTGTTCGAACTTACTGTAAAAGAGCTGTACAAAACATACAACAGTTAGCTTTGCCTTTAACTCTTTTAAACACTTTCCTTAGATAACATTATCCAAAACTTGGTAAGTATTACAATACAAATGGCTATTTTATTGTCGTCAACCTTTTCATTGTCAAGCTTGAGTACACCGGCGAAAGAGTTGGAGAAACAGGCAGTCGGAGAAATTTTGAAGTTGCTGCAGAAGGTACAAACTTTGAGAGCAAAACGTAATTAAAGTTTCTGCGGTAATTTAAAAATTTTTCTGACTGTCTGTTCCTCCAACTCTCTCGCCTCAATGCGCAGCAACGCGGCAGCAAAAGCGTTAGCATTGCAAAACCAGCCACTTTCATGCCATTTTCAAGACGCATTTTATCCTCAACTAATAAATGATATTTCACAAGCAGTGAACACGGTGCTCCGCTGACAGAAGTTTTAAAAAGAAAAAAAGAAAGGAAAGGAAAAACTAGCAACTTTTTTATTTCTTTTGCTGCTTGGTAAATTTTTTAGATTGTATTTTTGCGCCTGCTAAAACCGATCTATGGTTAGGGATTGTTGCTTTAAGTTATTATAGAAGATATGGGGATGAAGAGTGGGCAAAGAAGGTGTAGCCGAACTTCTACTAGCTACAGTAAACTTAATTTTTTCTTGACTTAAGGCTTAACCAAACCTATCTCAATACAGTAAGTTTTCTTTTATAGAAAAATTGTACCTGTAGTATTCCTTCTTGTTGCTCTAAAAAACTTATGTAAGGCCTTTTCTCTATAATTAAAATTAAGTTTTGTTCTTATTAGTTTAGAACAATGAAGGAAAAACCGTGAGAGAAGAGATAGAATAGATTTGTAATCACGGATGATATAAGTAACTAATTTGAGAATCAAAACATTATTTAGAGGATGAGTATACGACAATGAGAGACTGCCAGTATTCACTAACCCTAATTTGCACTACCTCAAAGAGCGTTGAAACATATAAAAAAATATATATACAAAGACACAAGCATTCAAATAGTCAAATCTCCTTATAGGATTTGTTACGCTTAAATTTACTGACCTGTAGGATATCTCGGGAAGATCTGGTAGTACTTATCTGGTAGTAATATATCTTAATAGTCTTGAGTCGCTAAAGAGCAGAACGAATAGTACCCAGTTGAATTGAAGCAAAAAATAACAATAAAAATTTTTTCGGAAAAACAATCATATTCTCAAAAGAAGGACAATTGTATTCAGCCAAAAAAAAACTCAACAAATTCTTTTGTTTCAATCAATTCAAGTTTTGTTACCTCTCAAAAGGAGCAAACTCTTCGTTTTACCAGAATGAGTAAAACAAAGGGTTTATCATTATCCTGACCTTTGAGCATCGGCATTTCTTTAGTTTGTGTGGTGCAAACAAGAAATTTTGTCTTCTCTTTTTTCTTCCAAACTTGTATTGTCTGTTTGAATTTTGTCACCTAGACTTACTGTATTGCATTTTTGATGCTCTCCGTTTGATGAGGAACATCGACAGAAGGAGGAGGAGACAAAAACAGTGATATTGTTTTATTTTTCTTTCTGTCATCTTAAACTTATAATTTATTTTGAGACAAAAATTTAATTAATATGTAGAGATATATGCTGAAATATATCTAACAAAAAGGAACGATATAAATGGTTTGCACGCTTTTCGTTTGACGCTACCGTGCGTTTCACGAGAAAAGGTCGACGCAAGTTTTCTGTACCAACATGGAATGTTTTTTTCCAGATTATCCAGATATTATAGTCCCTCTGTGCTTGTCCACATACTTTTTTCACTTGACTTCTTAGAAATTTTTGAAACTTCGCTTATTAGTGGAGTCTAGGCCAATGTCGGAGAGAACCTGAAAAAGGGAATTTCTCGCCAGGTTACTCCCTCTTTCAAAGTTGCGCGATACACCAGGTTGCCGTTCGACATACCTATCTTCGGAAATTTGTAATTCAGCTAAACTTCCGGTAAAACTCAACAGAATTTGGAGGTTTTTGACTTTTTAGATTTTTCATGTCCTCTTCTTTTGAATTATTGGATAAATTACTTCTGCTTTATAGATGTATAGGTACAATAAAAACAAAATTGCAAATAAATAAAATAAAAAAACGTGTTCTTAAAAGTTTTTAAAATTATATTTTAATAAAATTTTTTGTTCTATAACATATCTCAAATTGGTGATGGCAATTTTTGAGATTTGGGAGTTACAGGCCGGAAAAGGTTCTATGATTGAGAGAAATTTACTCTTTTTACAGTAATCCCGCCCATGTTACATTGGCGAAACCATCGTTAGCCGCTTCTGAAGCCACAAAGAGTAGCTAAGAAGCATCGGTATGTTTTAATTGTTGCATATTTGTTACAAAAGTTGTGTTTTACTTAAGGATATCTATAATTTATTATTTAAGCCTTCACTCCAGTTTTTTCTGCTTCTTAAATATTGCGGTTAACTGAGAAAATAGTGAAATTGCCAGTAACCAATAAAAACAGTTTGCGTTTGGGCGTTGTTCTGCATGACATAGGTTTCTGTTGTTACCATCCGGAAAAAAAAACAATTTTTTTTGCTCACAGAAAGTCATAAAATTTGCTGATTTCTAACGAGACTTATGATATTATAGAACTATAAAAGGAAACAAGATGATGAAAATTATTTTTTGTCCTTGTTCTTCTCCTTTTCTAAACTGAGGACTCCTAGACAAGAGATATCGCTGAAGACAGCATTTTTACTAAGTAAATAATACGAAATATCTTGAAATATTTGCGAATTGGAAACAAAATGCTGTCGCTACCGCTCGCAAAAGGCACTGTAGGGTCCACTAAGGTCACTGCAGTTTTTTGAGGGGAAGCATTCGGAAGGGCTGCAGACTGATCACCTAAGCAGGCGGAAGCCAGGTATAAAAGGGGCAGTAATCAGAACAAAGTCAGTCTTTATCAGTTCTTTCAAGTTTTCTTGTCAGTTCTATCAAATATTTTAAGAAATGTTTGACTCATCCATTGACTGTGATTCTCGACCTCAGTTCATACTATATTCCATCTGTTACTTCGTGTTCAGTAGGCAGTTTTTCCTCTGTTTATTGGACTTTATTTGTAATCAATATTTATTGGTATATTACTGAGTGTTTGACAAGTGTAACCAAGATTTTCCTATTTATAAAGTATAGAGGTAAAGTAAGAATAAAAGGATTAATTATAAGACAAGGTTCCAACATAAGAAGATCTTGTCCGAGAAGGTACATAAAATGTCGAAGTTTAGGAGATTGGAGACAGATAAGTCGAAGATCTCAAGTAGTAGATACAGTCCATCAAGCTACAGTCCGTATTGGTTGGTAGCTGTGATTCGCAAGAGGCTAATTACGGCCACAGCTAATTGAGTGTATCACGAGAAGGACCCACGTAAGTTGTGTACGGGGGACTACTGCATTGGTAGTGCCTCAACTTAGGAAAATGTCTGTTTAGCCAAGACAATTGCAGCAACTGGAGACCTGCACCAGGGGTGAATACAAATTTAGCAATAAGCTCTTTGCAGAGGACAAGTTGCAGTTAATTTAATCAAAATATTTAGACAAGGAAAAGCAATTATTTGATACGAGCAGGTGAGCAAAAGGGACCTCAGCTAAAAAACGATTAGAGCTCTGCAGAGTTTATTCACTCCTTCTTCGAAGTTGCAAAATGTCTCTTGATGAGGTAGTGCTGTTTTAATGTCGATATTTGATAACCATAATTACATATAAATTAAAGAACCAAATACACTTCAGAGTAGCTTCCATCAGCTGCTGCGATTGAAAATATCACTGCAAATACACCTTTTATCATCTAAAAAATGATCAATTGCTGCAACTTTAAAAGTTCAACTTTTTATAACTTTTGACGAGCAGTACAGTAAAATAAAACGACCTGATCTTTCTTAGCTTAGCCAATGGCTTACAAGTTGTTGTTGTTTCCATAACGAAAGAATTTTTCTTTTGCCGATTTAACACTTCATCCTCCGACTCCACCTCGTCAGTATCCACTGTTTCATCTTCTATGACACAGCTAAGAGGATCAGCAAAATTTAACGTCATTTCTGAATAGAAAATGGTTTTAGCAAAAGGCATTTAGTGTCTTTTCAGCAACGAAACCTACAATACTGGTTATAACAAATATAGCAGTGTCCTACAATGCGGAATACATTTAGTTTTTTCAGTGCAAAAAGTCCACTTTGTTAAAATACGTGCAGCACGTGAATTTCCTAATTTCCTTTTTTGAATCTGATGGTTAATTTAAATTTCTAAAAATCGTAGTTTTCCACAGCTTTAGCATCTTATCTGGTAAACTGATATGTTCTTTGTGCAAATATTTTTTGAGAGCTTAGTTAGATAGTCGTAATAGCTAAAATTTTTTTTTCAAAGAAATTTAGTGAAACATACCTTCAGACTCGATCTTATTTTTCAGAGGTTCAGCAAAGGCTGCTTGCAATGCTGAAATACACTCGATATCATAATACCAAATCAACTGCAGTTTGGATAGTAATGTAAGCGGATCATAGTATGTTATATATAACTTTCCGGTTTTTTCTTAGCGTTTTCTTCAGAACACTGTTTATATGTTACCTTTATGTGATGCCTGCGTAAAATAGTCGACCCTAATACGTACAAAGATCGAAGCTGGGCCAGCTGGTCGGTTCAGTGAATTCAACAACATTATGTGTCGATACCCTGAAACTATGAAATATTAAACTTGCATGTTCATTTTAAAAGACTTTATTTAAGTAAGCCCGGGGATGTAACGCATTATAGAAGAAACCATTTGTTAGTAGATGAACTGGTAAAAGACGATGCGCAACTTGTTCGTTACGATCCGTCATCAGGCGGATATGAAGCAGAGATCTTTCAGGAAATCGTATCTGAATGACTGTTTTTAAATACAAAAATTTTCAAAAAAAAAGACTATGCAGTTCTACTAGCTTATTATCAGAATGAAAAAAGCAACTGTTAACTAAAAGGTTATCACTTTTTCAATTACAAAAGGAGGGTCCTTTACTGATCCGTAAGTCGGGTTTAAGCCGTTATTATAAACAACTTTTGTTCTAAAGCGATCTTTTAGCTGTTCCAGAGGAAGGCCATAAAAGTCAACTTGAACGTAAGTGGAGGGAGAAGTTTTGTTTGGGAAGAGAGTAGAAATCAGTTGGCCAGAAATAACCTGAAATTGTAGCTGTAATATCCACTGATGTGGCTTTCTTAAAACCAGAAAAATTTTTAAAAACTGTCATTTTTAATCCATATCTGCTCGAATTTTTTGTTCAGTATTTTTCAAAATCTTTTAGCAGAGGCTGATTACAAGCGAACAAGGTTGGTCTTTTACAGTGGAGGCTCTGTACATGTACCTAAATGATCCCCCTTCTTAAGAACGGCGATAACAACCACATCGCTGGCGTCTCCCCTTGCCGTTGCGGAGGGCATGTTATTAGTACTCATGCTTAGCCAGAAACTCTGCACTACGGTCATGGATTTGAAATCATTGTTTGAGATTTAGAAATTTATAATTATCAGTGAGACATTATTGACAAGTTCAATTTTTAATAGAAATATGGCGACGGAGAGATTATTGAGAACAGCACAACAGTGACGTTACATCATAGGTACAAAAATCTTTGAGTACTCCAGTTCGGAGTAAGTCTAGCAGCATTTATCACGTTTGAAAAGAATGTCGTGATAAGCTTACTCAGATAAGTGTTGTAATAAGTTATGCAAGACATATTTGGTGTACGCTGCGAGATCCGAGGTGCGATTTGATGCTTTAGACAAGTTAGAGTCACCTGTCATTTGTTGCGCATTTAGTTTTCTCCTTAAAAAGAAAACTTCCCTGTTTTATTCCTGTTACCGTGAGAGAATTACCAGTGGCGTCCCTTACGTGTAGCTTGCTCCAAAAATGGAGTCGCTTTATAACTAATCGAGACATATGTCAAGACTTTCGTTCCCACCAAAAATCATGAGGCGCATCCATATTTGGGGTCAAAAATAGAATAATGCATTATTCTCGCTGCACCGTTTTTTATCCCAAATAGCGGAACCCCTGTCGCCGAACTCTTTCTAAACCACTTCTTGTATAGGCCCTTTTATTCTCAACCTTTCGCTAAAGATCCTGCCAAAGTGGAGTGCTTGTCTGTTGAAATTATTCTAGCTCCTCGAAAGCGGAGTTCCGTATGGATCTGATCCCGGATCTGTTTCCGTTCATTCAGGATGCCCACTCTAGAAAGACCACACAGTCATTAGAATGCTCTCTAAGAATAAGCAGTTGAACTAAGCTAGTCCGACTAAGGGCCACCAATCAGTTTTTGAGTTATGTGTTGTCCTATTAAGCTAGCTCGTTTTCAATGTGGAAACCTGCTCAGATTCCAGAGGTTTTGTCATCCATACGGGAGTTTATTTCAAATCAGCTCTCTGAGAACAAGCTACGTAAATCTGCTGATTTCGTTGGACTTTGTTGATCGATTTTTCAAGATACGCGCCCTTTTCTTTAGTTGCTTTGTTTTCACCGTACTCCAGAAAGTTTTTTTGCTCATTCAGGACGTTAATTCCAGAGTTAGCCTGTATCTTTAGAAATGTCTGAGAACGATCTACTCAAATGTTTTAATTTGATTACAAGTCAATTTCAAGTTAAGCAACATTGCTAACCGTTAGTTTCTTCTTTCATGAGCGTGCTGGAGTTTCCCATATTATTTGCACTACCCCTACAATATCACAAACTCCTCCCTACAGGCTCCTATGAAAGTCAGAAACTAGCAAATTTTGCCTCACGAGCCCCTAATCGAACCTGGCAGTTCGTCTTCAGACTTTTATAATGAGCATAAGCTGGTTTCGGGGTGAATATGCCGGATAGGCAAGAAACCTTCTGGAAGTGTAAAAAAAAAAAGAAAAAAAAAAAGAAACGCAAAAACACACATGAGTCAAAAAAACGATTCATGACCGCAGACCAATCTAATCACAGCCGATTAGCCCGTACCAGAGCTTTCTAATTAGTGCAAGGTGTTTCCGGAATGAATCCACTAATGGACATGAAGTTTACCGGAAACACAAAAAATACAAAGCAAGTGAAGAAAAAAACGTGTACCTTGAAAAACCGACCACATTGCTTAACTTCCTTAACAAACTTAAGTGGACCTTTTTTGAGCCCTTCTAATGAGTGCAGACAGGCTGGTTTGGAATAAATCCTAACAGATGAGAAAACTTCCGGAAATGCAGCAAGTTTGTACAGGGGACAGGGACTAGCTTTAAGAATGACGCGTATCTCAAAAACCGGCTGAAAACTTCTAGTCGGACTTGCTTAGTTTGGCTGCTCATACTTAGGATATCCTAAAGATTACACGGTCTTTCCAGAATGAGCATTCTAAATAAACGAAAACTGACCTGAAATCAAACCCGTATAAAGCTTCGCTTTCAAACGGATGGATTTTTGCAGCTAAAAAGCATTTTATATTGGGGGATTCGTGAGACGTTGGCTGTAAGTAGAAAGGCCTGTATACATGAGCCTGCGACGGCACTGACGCACCATCCTTCCATCCTTCAGCGTCGGAACCATGCATAGCACCTGCGGGCACATAACTGAACACCAAACCAGCTGGATTTGAAAAAAGATTTTTTGAGTATGCCAGTGAGTGACTTTGCTATTACGCCACAAAGCCACCAACGTGCTCCCCGTCGAAGGCGTATTTAAAGAAATAAGGAGCTATACCTCCGCGTCCATCGTCTTCCACTACACATCTGCTCCATTTACTTTGCTGTTTTTTCTTCTCCAGCTTCCGTAAGAAAAGCAGCTAGTCAACTAGCGTATTAGAGCTGGTAATGTGAAAAATTACAAAACTTTATTTTACAGAGAATTTCTCCCAGATTTGCTTCTGTCTGTGTAGTAGTTTTCGGCGCGAATTTTCATCGCTGAGCCTTAAGTCTTCTGCATTGTTACTCATCTCAAAAATAACAGCAGCTTCAATACTCTTGGATTTGAATTGCAAAATCTTTTCAATTTTAATGTTATATAATTTTAGGTCGGTGTAAGCCTGTCGTTATCTTCCTTTTGCCCACTACGTCTAGGTAGATCAAAGATTTAGTATGAAAATAATTGCGTTTTCACGGAAACTTTCCGAGGAACTGTTCCATCTTTCACGTGCAAGTGCATCTTCAATTATCAAAGAGCATACTGAAGTGCATACGATCGAACCATACAAATTAGTTTCAGAAAATAATGTGGTTCCAAAAAACAATAAGTTGCTTGCTTGAAAAAGTTGGTAAGCACATTTAAAAATGTTAAACACTCTCTACGACCATTTTAATGATAAGGTCTTGAGTAAATTAACGAATCAGCCAAACGATGTCATAAGTTTCAGTATGGAATAGTTTAACTGTAAATGACTCGTGAAGATAAGGAGGAATAAAATGTAACATCCTTAAATGAACCCACACTGATCTCAATTCGATTCGCAAGTACCATAGTGTGAAAAGTGTCTCCAAATACATTTATGTTTGCAGCAGGGTCTCTTAGCACTTCTGGTTTCAACACATACCCACACGAACCATTCTCTTCAAATAATGTTGAATTCATGAGCATCTCAAGACCTACAGTTTGAAAATTCAGCGCCATCATCTGCACTCCCACCATCCATCCAAACTAAATATAATATTGATATTAATAATCTTATAATAATTTTGCTATAATCTTATAAAAGTATTCTGTGACGGAGAAAACCGTATAAACTGTCTTTTCTCACTAATCCACTTAAATTTTATATTTTAAAGCAAACCAGCGGCGAATAATTAGTTGAGTTAATCCTGCTTCCATCTGGATACACTCGCGTTAGATGGCTAACGTTGTGTTTAGCAAACTGTGCTGGACAATTAACTACTAAATCGAGAGCTTTCTTTTCGACCATTGAATGGACTCTATGATAATGATTGCTTGCTTAAAATTGCTGCAGTTATTGGCCTTAACAAGTGCAATTTAATGTGAACAAAAAAAACTGTAATATTCCGTCGCTAAAATATTATACCTTTTTTTAAGCTGAAAGATGGTCGGGCATCTAAATAGTTGACAAAGCTTGAAAGTTCTCTTGAGTAATTATCCACTTCTGCGGCAGCTAACTGCTAAA